AGCTTTTCTATGCAAATCAACAATTGTGTTTATTTTATAATTGTTCTTCAAGAATATATGAGCATAATTTAAGATACATTTATACACAAACTCAGGTCATTCTAAATGGTTTAACTTTTCTGTATGGAAATCGTACCTCTCTGTCACACAGTAATCCTAGCATTAAATGAAGCGTAAACAGGATGTCTACAGCAGGGTGCAATGACTGTCATATGTGGTCTATGTGATGTGGTTTTTCATGCAGTCTGGAAATGAATGGGTAACTCAAGGTTAAAGGTTCAATGTGTAATATTTTTTACCTTAAGTAGTGCTATGGCTTTGTTATGTGCAGGTCCAGTTTGTCCATTTTACAAGAAAAATAATAAATAGATTAAGAGGGCAAAAAATATATAAGTCCACCTGAACTACTAAGAAAAAAATCACATTTTTTAATGCGTTTTCTAAGACATTATATGGTGAGGAGAACATAACAATAGAGGTGAATGGCACGAATAATATTACTACAACTTTATATCAGTCGCTGGCTGGAAAACTATTTGATTCAACTTTTTCCTCTGATTGGTCAAGAACTGGAGGTTGGGCTGCCACACCAGCTTCTTCAAGCTGTTGGAGAATCAAAGTAGAGAAAGAGACATTTTAGAAAAGAATCAGACAGGTAAAAAAATAAGGGCTAAAGCAACATAATGTCTCATACTGTCTTATTAAGGTGGCCCTGAGCTGCCAGAACCACTTGTGTGCACTTAAAACATCTGAAGCTGACTGGATCATATTGGAGTTGGAGCTAATAGATGTTGAATAACTGTGAATTTCTTAGTTATTAAAATCTCCAAAACAGACAAGAGAGAAGAAGTCAGACTACAGACACGCTACTGAGTGGAATAATCACAGTTGTTGTAGTGTGTGTTGCTGTGATTGGTAGGTATATCTTTAAGGATGTGCATGTTCTACACTGTACTACACTATACTTTACTGTACTAAACACACCATAGAGAATTCCTTGTATGTGTAAATCTACTCGGCAATAAACCCTGATTCTGATTCTGATTAACCTCTGTGGGATCTTACCAGGCTGTAGAGTGTCTGGGAGGAGATGACATCATTGTTTCTGTCTGCTTCACTCTGAGCCAAGGGCACAAGTTCATTGATTTCCTCATCTGACTTCAGAGGGAACGCTGAGCTCACGGCTTCTCTACACACATACAAAGACAGCTCAGTTGAAATAAACAAAAATGGACAGAGAAGTGCAACATGACTATAACCTACATAACATTGCATTTCCCTGTTTTATTTTGACATCAATAACATTTCCTGTCATTGCAGTGTGTAGTTCTCAGTGTCTCTGTGCTTCCCACCAACAAACCCCTGTAGTGTAGTGAACTGAATTGAGGTAGTTGTATGTAGTTGAGATTGTAAGTACTTTTGGACAGTATAAATAAACTGAACTATAATCGTATGTGTGCTTTTGTGTCACCTAAACTCCTGGACAGTGAGGGTGTCGCTCTCACGCTGGCTGGACTGAATCTGGCTGTGTCCTTTAGACACACTCAAATCAACCTACAAAAGAAATTGGAGAAACTCAGCTCCATACAAAATCAACATTGCATATTGTGACCACTTGTGAAGTAAAGTACTATACCTGCACAGTGGTGGAGTCAAGTGCCTCAACCTGCACGTCACCTCCTTTGTGGAGCTCCAGCAAGGCGTCATACTCACTCTTCAGCTGATGAAAGTCACCCTGCAGCGTCTTCAACTGGACAGAAGTGGATATCATTTAAATGCTGAATTCTGAGATACTGAATTGTATACAAGTGTACTGTGAGTACAGTATATAAGGCACCTGCACAAGTGTCTGCTTGTGTGTTTGTTCCAGTTTGTCCCAGTTGCACCGTGGCACAACATCCCAATACTCTGCCTTCATCCTGGTGAGCTCCTCCTGGGATGTAGTCAGGTCTTCCCGACATACCTTCAGAGCGAGCTGCAGCTCCTCTGGGTCCTTGGCGTCTTCTTTCAAAAGGGAAACAGCTCTCAACATAATATTCTTGTTTTTTTAAGTTTTATATTTTCACATTTGGTTAAATCTCTTATTCATAAATTATCAACATAAAATAAATCCTTCAGGAAATCAATCATACGTTTTGCTTTGTATTTAAAGACAGACAAGATTTTTTTTAACTTGGTCTCACATAATACCTCACCACATATAAAAATGTAAAAGACATATCAAAGGTTCCTCTTCTCTTTTTTTTTGTAACAAAGTAGATTTTGAAAACTGAAAAAAGCCCCCCAGTCGACTGGTTTGTGTTAACCAGGCATTTTTAGTCTGTGGGTTAGTTTCTAACGTGATGTGATTTCCTACTACATAGCTCACCTGTATTTTCATCTGCAGCATGCTCCTCTTTCCCAGAAGCTCTTGTTAGGTAACTGAGCTGCCCAATCAGCAACTTGCGGGCGTCACGCTCCTCCCGGTATCGCAGATACTGGTTAGACAGTTCATGCTGCAGATGTTCTACCTGGAGAGGAATGGAAGATAGTGGGGTGACTGGTGTTAAAGGAGGCTAATCTAAAATCAACCTTATGATCTGAACTTAACTTTTATAAAAAATACTGACAGACACTAAAAAAACATTTTTCATTTTCCAATAAATATTGGAAAAACAGGAATGTATCTGTTTATTAATCACACCATGTTGTAAGCCCTTAAAAGTCACATGACTTAATAAATAGAGGTATGTACCACTTCCTGAATCCCCGTTTCTTTCTCCCTCGTGGCCTCAATGTCCCTCTGCAACTTCTGCTTTTCTCTTTCCAAGGCTCCAATCTCAGCCTGTTCCTCTCTCAAGCAAGCTTGAATCTTCCTCTCACACTCCTCCCTCACCAGCCGCAGATGAGATCGCAGAGGTTCCAGTTCTCGGATTTGATCCTGCTGAAATGCTGAACAGATGTTTAATGCAAGATAAAGAATCTATTATTATACTATATGGACTGAAGATTATTGACAACACTTATGATGGTTGATTTATAGAAAAAAACAAGAATAAGCTTCTCCAACTTAATTTTTTTCATTTTGTATCGTTACTGTTAAAACATTTTAAATGACAATTGAACAATTGAAAATTGAAGATTATAAAATAAAACTAAACCAATGAAAAAAAAAATTAAGTGAAAATATATTGAAATGCAGCCATTTTCTTTGCAGAATCCATTCAAAAGAGTCAATGTACAAGGGCAATAATTTGAAAAAAATGATTAAAATGATTGGGCAGGGTTTTGCAGAGCTACTGACCTAAAGTGTTTTCATATTCCTTTTTGATAGCAGACAGAATGGGTTGGTAGGTTTTGAACTCTTTGATGAAACAGCCAAAGATATGACGGTACACCTGTGGCCAAGACAGATGGAAATAAGCAATAGAGACAAACAATAAAATATGTGCACTGAACATGGAGATGTATGTTATAGTCTCTGGTTGTATTGTGAAAATAAACCACAGCACCTGCAGCTTCAGTTCCTGGTGTTTTGGCTCATTGGGACTGATAGTATTAAGCTCCCTGTTCACATAGCTTTCCATGTGCATCAGCAGCCGGGGTTTTCTCCCTGTGCCGGCGTAAATGTAACTGCCGCCTGCAACACACAACTAACAAGGCGCACACAAACACGTACATACACACAAAAGACAAGACAGGCGTTTGACTTTACTGTGATTCGTCTGTGTATCTCAATAACCTTTGCACTTTGTCTGGTACATTTTACACCCTGGTTTTTAGGTTTTAATGCCAGTCTTAGTTTTTCATCTTTTATGTTTTTTTTTATGTCAGGTGCAATATTCAACTCACTTTTATTCTGCACTATTATTCTGCTGCTTCTTGCATGATACATGCTTTTGTACAGATTTTTGTCATTTGCTGGAGCCCAAGAAAAACACTATAAATAATACATTTGATTCGATTGACATTGACTAAACATCTTTAGCAGCAATCAAATTAAACCTGTTGATGCTTTTCTTACCTCTCTCGCCGCACTTTCTCCTTGTGGTTCTTCCTCAGGTTTCTGCACAATGTTATTCTGAACTCCGTGGTCATTCGTGAGTCTGAAACAAAACCACAGGGCTAAGTCAAGCTGAACGTTTGTCCACGGCTGCCACGGCTGTTGGAGAGTTCGTGTGTGGCTCTCGGACAGCGTGGCGGCTGGATTCACACATCAGCGGCAGATTCAGTTGACACCGGAAGTGCCTGAGCCTGCCCTAACTGGAGAGACCCGGGGCGAGCCGAGCGACGGTGAAGAAACATCTTCTGCTTCTTCCTCACTTGCCTCTGTTTCCGTGACGGAGGCAGCGGCGGGAGTTTGACACCTCTGCGTGGCGACATTTCTCGAGGTTACACGACGGTTCGATGCCAACGAGTTCGCTCCTTGTCACTCAACTCGAGATTAGCATCGCAGGTGCTAGCACTGTGGATGGGTTCCCATGGTAACAAGGACGTTGCCCGCAGCAGGACCCACAGAGCAGACCGCGGCGCTGCCTAACTAGATTCCCACTTGTGTAAGACTTGAACTTTCTTGTTAATTGCAGGAAATGCCGCGGGACAGAGCTGCTCTTTAACCAGAAGGTAAGCCGTTGACTCTAAACTATCTGATGAATAAGTCATAAAATAGGTAATGTAGTTTAAAAAAAAATAAAACATCACACAAAACTACAACTTCCAGCAATCATAACGTAACGCGGTGGAAGCGGAGATGAGAAAAAAATGCTACAGTGCTAAAATAATTTGAGTTATTATTTTTTGAAACACTTTGTTTTCCTTCTGAAAATGTTAACTCTTACATGCTAATTTTCAAGTTGCTAGCAAATATGTTTGAGCTCCACTTCCTCTCAACCAAGCACCAAATTTAAAAAAAACGAGCGTTAAATTATATAATCTTCTAAAAATGTCTATAAATTCAACCTCTACCAATAATAAAAACTACATTTCCTAGCCACTCGGTAAAAGACCTGAAGCAGGGGGTCACCGCAGTGGAGCTCTGTAGTCATTTCCAGGGACGTTAGCGTGGAGGCGAACGGGTGGCTGAACTACAGTACCCACAGTGCACCGCTCCAGCCTACAGTGCATTCTGCTGCTTATCCGGGGATGTCACACCGCTGCTATTTTCTCCCCTCGGTCCCTCTCACTCTCAGCCCCCAGCTCCAGAAGACCGACACCGGGCCACGGACGCACGCCAGCCGACGTTAAGACTTCGGGAACAAGAGGCCGACGATGGCGGAGCTGGCAGCGGGAAGCCTGCCGTTAGGGGACCCGGCCTTTAACTACCAGGAACACGAGCTGAGCGAGCGACTGAAGCGGCTCTACCCGGCTGTGAACGAGGAAGAGACCCCTCTGCCCCGGTCCTGGAGCCCCAAGGATAAGTACAGCTACATCGGGCTGTCACAGAACAACCTGCGGGTCCATTATAAAGGTTAGAGAGCCGGGTCACAGGGTCTCAAATCTGCCTCTGTGCTGTTACATGGAGGGGGGGTCTTTCTCTCTCTCTCTCACACACACACACACACACACACACACACACACACACACACGGTATGCGATTATGTTGAGTGCGTGTATGTGTGTGTGTGCAGTCCTGGTAAATCTAGTCTGAGCTGCTTCTCCTGTCCTGTAACCCCGCTTTGTCTCACCGTGGAGCGGAGGAATGCCCACATGGGTGACGGTGAACTCCCCAACCCTCCACGCTCTCTTATTGTCTTTTATTTCCACCACAAATGAAATTCACCTTCACCCCCCCCCCCCCTCCTCCCTCCATCGCCTTGTTTATTTACCGTTCATGACGTTATTCGTTCGCAGTAAACTCAGCGTATGACGTCCTCCATAGTTGGAGCTCCGTCCGCAGCAATAACCACGAAGTGACATGTTGTTGTTTTTGTGCTAATGGGCTAACTAGTGGAATGTAATAAACAGGCTAACAGTGAGCTATCTCTTTAGTACAGTAGCTAGCCTTTTTGCTAACAGGCTAACGTGAGCTAACCTAGCTTGCTTCTTGTGACCAGTGTTGTGTTGACAGCAGTGTGATAAGCTGGACACAAAATGGACACAACTTGTTAGCCGTCGACAGTGCAGTTGCAGCGGTTGTTTGACACATCAAATTAAGAATAAAACGTCTGTGGTTCTCGCGTGATTTCAGTGGCAGTGTTCTGGAACTCTTCTCCAGAAATCGTATATCTTGTGTTTTTTAATGTCAGTCCGGTAACAACCGGTGCAGCTCCATGTTGATCCGCATGTTCCCTGAGCACAACAACAGTGTCATGTCCCAGGCTTCAGCAGGGAGGAGGAGGAGGAGGCCTCTGCGCATTATATTAGGCCAAATGTACCGATCCTGTGATACATCTCCAGTGTAGGAGGCGTTTTCACAATAACAGCAACTTCACTCGTGTGACGATGCAGCCAGTCAGCCGTTCAGAAAGCTGTCAGATGGATTATTGTACGTGCTCGCTTCCTAAATCAAAACAAGGTGACATCTGTGTGAAGTGTTCTCAGTCTTGTGCCTGCTCTGTTATTTTTCGTCAGGCGACACGTCAGGGCAGCTCCCCACCCCCCCAGTAGCAGGCAAGCTAGCCCTACATCTCAGGCTATGGAGATAAAATCTGCTCAGAGACATTGAAAGGCCACTGTGGGTCCAGTTGGCAGTTTACATCACTGAAACATGCAGAGGACCAGCCTGTGTAGCCCATTTTGAGAGAGTTAGTCGGCACATATGCAGTATTAGTCCAGCTGTTTGTGAATAGCAAGGAAGGCCTATTATTTGATTGTCAGGCAGATGGCCTGATTAAACCCTTTAGATGATTGAATGCAAAACTGATCAGGTTTCTGCTGATCATATAAATAGTGATTCAATTTGATTAGCCTATTTTTAGCCATGCATATTTTGTAGGTGCTCTTCTGATGTCTCTTGATGTGATATGATAACACTTCAGTCATTTCTATTGAGATCCTTGCATTCTGTTTAGAGATGCCCACACACGTGTCACACTTGAGACATTGGCACAAACGATGAATGGGTGCTTGTTAAGTCAGGACAAGTCATTTCAGGTGTTGGTGACATGGCGTCACAGTGTCTTTATGTCTATGAAAAGAGCAATGATTACGTGACACTGCACAATTGTTCTGGGATGACAATATAAGTAGGTCTATTGTGTGAGATAATTTTTCTCCTTCTGGTTGTTCCAGCTCCGCTCTGTTCCTTCACCCTTGTGGTTTAGATGCTATTTTGACCAGTGTGCCAATTTTCTCAGTTCAAGGCCACACAGTATCTATCTAGTTCCTAATAGACACAGATTAATCTACAGGAGTCTAAACAGGTAGATGCACAAAGCAACACGCACAAACTAACATTTCACTGAATACATCAGTTAAGTTGTGTTTTTTTTTCAAGAATTCTAGTCAGTTAATGATTTCTTAACTTCATTCTGATGAAGGGATGATATGGTTGTTCTTTTAATAGACCTTAATGGTGCTTAAATAGAAAAACAGATACAGCTGCTTGATGGATCGGGAATAATACACTGTATATTACTAATGCGCTGTAGCAGATCCTATAGTGTTGTTTGAGCTGTTGTAAAGTATGAATTAGCATACAGTTAATAAAAATAGAGTGGCTAGTATCCACTGCATCTTTTGATCGTCCTCAAGGATGACTCCATATCAGCTGCCAGTGCTGATGTATGTTGATCATGATTTAGCTTCCTCTGACATGAACCATGAGGTTCTAAGTAGAGCTGCACAATATATCTAAAATTGACCGTCATCGTTATCATGCACAATATACGTATTGCAAAAGACTGCTTGAACTGCCAGTCCCTCTCACTCTCTTCCTTCCCCAGGAAGTAGTTTTTTTCGATAAAGCCATGTTGGAAAGGAAATAATTTTAAATTTTTCCCCCAGTGTCTGCTTAGGCTACTCACTACATGTGATCTTTGTTAGCAGCAAACCCAAAGCAGAAAGACTTTAACACTGTATACTTAAGCATTTATTTATTTATCGCAAATCATATAGTCAACGCAACATTCAACAACGTTATAGCACATCGCATGTTTTCGTATTGTGCAGCCCTAGTTCGAAGGTATCCAAAAAGTGATGTAAGCCACAGCCAGACAAAGTGAAAAGAACTAAGTCATATGCAAAAAAATGACATGTAATCATCAGGTCACCAGAGATGACTGGACATCCTCCAATCCATGGCTCTGTCTTTAAATTCTGTCCTTGAAATTCACAAACTGAATAGATGACAAGCACAACCTACGTCCATCTATTGAGAACATTTGACAAAGTTCCAATGGTGAAGACAAAGCTTTTGGTCCAGTTATACAAGGACCTAATTGCTCATAGTATCAGCCCCAATGGTCCATAGTCCCAGAGCTAAATCCATTAAACACTCTGCTATGAATATGAACAGTAAAATAAAAAGATTCTGTTGTTACAGAAAGTAACATTCAAGTGCTGCTTTAGGTTAGAAATCTAAGTGCTCATTGAAGCTACACCTCAACAAGAATGGTTTCAACATGATTTGTGGCTGCATTGCAGGAAGTCAGTGAAGCCTCTGTAGATTGACTCATTTACATAAATAGGTTCTATGATGCTGCTAATATTTACACAATTATTTCTTAAAGATTGACTGGACCTGTGACCACTAGTTTTAGGGACAGTAAATAGTTTTTAATCATACCTAACCTAATAAGATTACATATTATGTTCACAGCTCGTATCATTGTTCAAACTCAATACCTCCACCAGGGAGGTTATGTCATCATTGCTGTTTTCTATTTGCACAAAAACCTCTGAACCAATTGACACTTGTTGGAAGGGTGGGGCGTGGGCCAAGGAAGAACACACTGACTTTTGTAGCGTATTCAATTCATATTTTAACATTGTGTGACAGGACGTTAGCCTTGGCGGAGGTGTGTCCGTGTCCGAGTGCCCTTCGAGTTTATTTTTGTGATGGATGTGAAACTCCTCTGAAAATGAAATCTCTTTGGTTTGTCTTGAGTTGGTAGAAAGTCTATTTAAGGTATTTATACAGTTATAACAGTTAAGACCTCTGTTAGGTCATAGTTGGTTCTGATACAGATCCACATGGGTGTCGTCTGTTGAAATAGTTGATCTGACCTCTGCTGTGATTGAAACGGAGCTGTCCCATACTAGGCAACTAAGTTCTATGTAACACTAAATGAGAAGGCAGCTGTGGCTCAGGGGGTAGAGTGTGTTGTATTTAAGACAAGCTGACTTCAACACTAAAGTCCAGACATTTTCCTTTCCACAAATCTTCCTTGAGCCGCTCTCATGTCAGAACACAAGTGTTTGAGTCAGTTGAACCTGAAACTAAAAGAATAGCTTGAAAAACAGGTGTCATATAAGTAGAAACCTGGAAATACAAGGTTCATCTGTTGGAGATATAGATTGATGATGTTGAAATTATCAAACAAGTTGCAAGAAGAGACAAGAGACTTAGTCCTCAAAGTCACATGCCATGTCCTTCGTCACGCAAACTCTACTCAGGCGCTGCACCCCTCGCCTGAATGTAATAGAAACTGTTCTGTTGTTGTGAAAGTGTCTGACCCGAACAATCTCCTACTGCCTTCTTCATAATTGAAAGATGAACTCCAGGAAATAACGGAGTTCCTGTCTGAAAACAGCATCACTGAGTTTGGGGTTGATTATGTTTTAATTGTAATAGTACTTAGCTTTCTGCTTGAGGGGCCCCAATGAATTTATAAACAGGACAGGCCTCTTTCAACACTTGACTTGTCATTGTAGGAAAAGAAGAGACGTAAATAATAAAAGAAACAATGGCTGATGTCAATTGTGCTGCTTAATTTTAGTCGTCCTGGTGTTTTGCATGCTGGTCACACCACCATGTCTTAGTGGGACACGTGAACTGAACAGAGCCATCTTTAATGTTATCAGTGACACCTTTGCTTTTCTAACTATGACAGGTCGAAATGTCTTCTCTGAAAAAGGCCTGTGGCAATTAAGATGACTGTGTAACCGTGTGACACAAGTCATGATACACTGCACCAGGACCACTTCAGGGTTCAGAGCATTAAGTTGAGCTTCACCAAACTTTGAATAAACAGGTGCACAGGTGGATGGGCACTGCACTAAAAAATGTTTGAGTGATGGTGATTCAGGTGAAACAACGATGTCATATTTCTCACCATCACTGATTTCTAGTTTTAATACCCAACATCTCGCATCTGAAGGATTTTCTCGAGCTTATGTAGCTTGCAGTCACCACAATTTTATCCTCTAGTTTTTCTGGCATCTCCTTTTATTTGTAATTATTATATAGTGATTCTATTCAGGGAACAACATGGGCTGTTGTGGCCTTTGCTGTTGCAGACTTTGCACTTCCCCCTGCTCACAGCTAATGATAGAACCTGGTGTGTGGCTGCTGTTTTCCTTGCCAGCAATTAATGTCTGACTGTGCTATGGGGTAAGAAGAACAGGATAGTGACCTTTGGTCCTTGACCTCTGGTGGATTTGATGTCACACAACAGCTGACATGTGTGACGCTGTAGAACCAAAGCCGTTTCTCAGAGAACAGTCTTGTCTCAGTATTTTAGGTCAATAACATAACATTACGTTATAGTTCATAGCCTCTGTCAACCAATAGCCATTGCCCCAGTATTTGTGTATCTTTCACCCTTACAGCCATATGTGTAAAAACATTTAGTGATCTTATGCGCCAACATTGAATGAGTAAATAATTTGTATCCACTATAATGTACGGGTGATGTACTTATGACGGTGGTGGGGGGTTGTTGTTAGAATTATTAGCCATTTCTCTTAGCCGACTGTGCAGTTGTAAAGAGACCTGTTGGCCTACTGACGACTTGTTTTTTTAGAAGGAGTGGCTAAAAATAGATGGCATGAATGTTGCTGCAACCATTGGACCAGATAATCACACAAAAATCACACACATGCACGAACACATGGGTCACATGAATTTACATGTAATAAACCACCTTGGTACAACAATAAAGTGGTTAAGGTCGATTTTCCTTCATTACATTGATTTACAAGTTCATTAGTATATTTTATGTGCTAATAATGCCTTGTGAATTCTGATATACTTAAATACTATAGAATATCAGTGTCGTACTTATGAAACAAACATTTTTCGTAAACGGTTTAATCATGAGTTTAGGATTTGGGAAATCACAGTGAGCATAAATGTTACATAAAAAAGCTGCAGTATATCATTACTGTATGTCTTGATCTCAGCTGGCTGTATGTTAGTGACACACACACACACACA